GAGTTGTTGAAAAAAAAAATCGGTGCAAAGCTCACCTGGTGTTCCAGGCTTGAAAACTGGCTCTTCAAACTCTTTTTTCGGAGTTTCTCTTATTGAGATCTACAAAATGACACCAAAATCATAAAGATTGGCCGACTTAGAAGAAAGTTATAGCGAGTTGCGCAAAAAAAAAAAATTCCGGAAATTAGCCTACCCCCAAATCTCTCTAAACTGAATCGAATTCACAGTTCATCTTCAGCAATCAGCTTCTTTTATATTTATAAAGATATTCAATCTATTAACCAACACAGTTGTTGTGCCTGTCTTTCTTCTCACATCACTTTGTACTTTCATCTCCCGTTCATTCGCCTCTCTTTCTTTGATTTCCATTATACCAATCTTCTTCTACATCTATTTGCTTTGTCTTTTTTTTTCCTTTTGTATATAAAGTGCTTTATCTATTATTTATTTATCCATATTTGCTTTGTCTTTCTTTTTTTCTTTTATATATAAAGTGTTATATCTATTATTTATTTATCCATCTCAATCCAATTTTTTCTCGATTCAATTTTTCAAGGTTGGCATCTCATATTACTCAAAAAAGGTTTCGTCAGGGAAAACCTGAGTTCAAAGCTTTAAAACGAAATATATTACCAAAGATAATCATTATTTTATTTTATTTTTTTTTCGAATTTTTTTATCCTACTTATTATAGGCGAGAGAGTATGTGTGTGTGTGTCTGTCTGTCTACTGTCTGTCTGTCTACTGTTTGTCTGCCTGTCTGTCTGTCTACTGTCTGTCTGTCCATCTGTCTGTCTGCCTGCCAGTCCATCTGTCTGTCTGTCTGCCAGTCCATCTGTATGTCTGTCTGTCTACTGTCTGTCTGTCTGTCCGTCTGTCTGTCTGTCTGTCCATCTGTCTGTCTGCCTGCCAGTCCATCTGTCTGTCTGTCTGTCCATCTGTCTGCCTGTCTACTATCTGTCTTTCTATTCCGCTGTTTTAGAAAAAACGGCTGAACCAATCGATTCGAAAGTTTGACATTACAAACCTAACTTTTTCCGTATTTTCCAAAAATCTAATAATATTTGACACATAATTTGACCGTTTTTTTCTAAAAAGCGAAATTAAAAAATACATGCTACTTGAGTGGTAGTGCGTCCCGGCATCCGATCTACCAAGTTGAGTAACGTTGGGCTCGATTAGTCTCAGGTTCGATCTCTGCTCGATGCAATCTCTTTTTGCTTTCTTTGTTTTTACACTTTTTGAGTGCGAAAGGTCATTTTTTGATTCTTCTAGGGGTGAAGAAAATAAAAGCCATTAGGCGGGTTTTTCTGGCTGCTTCTTTATAAATCTAGAGATCTTTTCGCGATCCTTTACCTCGCGATCAAGAAAATTCCCACGATCCGCCCATTGACGGGCCATCAAATTTTAACAACTTTCTGAAACTTTAAGTTCAATTTCAAGAATTTTCAAATTTTCTTAATATTTTATTATCTAAAAAACTGAGAAAAAGCACTTTGAGAATATTGGTCGAAAAATGAAATCCAATCCATTTTGGCCTCTCCTTTGTTTTTTTTTTTCTTTTTCTTTTCAAGCCAATCCTTTTTGGTGAGCTTCTCGTTATTTCTACCAAATATTTCCCCAAATATTATTCAAAATTTTGCTCATTTCCTTAAAATTCGAATATTTTTGGCTAATCCGCCAAAATTCGAACGCAAATCAAAGATTTGAATCACTTTTTTTGAAAGGTTTCCACAAAAGCTATTCAAAATCTATCCAAAATCTATTCAAAATCCTTAAATGATTCATTTGTTGAACATAAAAACAAATTAAATCCTTCAATTTTCGAGGCAAATTTTCTTTTTTCTTTTTCTCTATTTTTTCATTTTCATTTGGTCCAAATCAACGATCTTCTTTCATTTCTTTTATTTCTTATTTTTTCCCCTTCAAAACCATCAATTATTCCGCTTTTTTCTTTAAAAAGATCTGTGTTTAGAATGAAAAATGACTTCCAAAAATAAACTTTACCCGTTTATAGTTTTAGCAAATGCAACGTGGGATCATTTTCTGCAATTATTGACGTGCAAATTTGTTGATCTGATCTACAAAAAGGGTAATTCCATGATTGATTAAAGACTGTAATGTTCAACGTAAATTTACTTCAACAATACGGTCCTTTTTTTTGATCTAATACGGTTCCAATACGGTCCTTTTTTTTGATCTAATACGGTTCCAATACGGTTCCTTTTCAGGTCCGAATACGGTTCCAATACGGTCCTTTTTTTGATCTAATACGGTTCCAATACGGTCCTTTTTTTTTGATCTAATACGGTTCCTTTTCAGGTCCGAATACGGTTCCAATACGGTCCTTTTTTTGATCTAATACGGTTCCAATACGGTTCCTTTTCAGGTCCGAATACGGTTCCAATACGGTCCTTTTTTTGATCTAATACGGTTCCAATACGGTTCCTTTTCAGGTCCGAATACGGTTCCAATACGGTCCTTTTTGATCTAATACGGTTCCAATACGGTCCTTTTTTTTGATCTAATACGGTTCCAATACGGTTCCTTTTCAGGTCCGAATACGGTTCCAATACGGTCCTTTTTTTGATCTAATACGGTTCCAATACGGTTCCTTTTCAGGTCCGAATACGGTTCCAATACGGTCCTTTTTTTGATCTAATACGGTTCCAATACGGTCCTTTTTTTGATCTAATACGGTTCCAATACGGTTCCTTTTCAGGTCCGAATACGGTTCCAATACGGTCCTTTTTTTGATCTAATACGGTTCCAATACGGTTCCTTTTCAGGTCCGAATACGGTTCCAATACGGTCCTTTTTTTGATCTAATACGGTTCCAATACGGTTCTTTTTTTTGATCTAATACGGTTCCAATACGGTCCTTTTTTTGATCTAATACGGTTCCAATACGGTTCCTTTTCAGGTCCGAATACGGTTCCAATACGGTCCTTTTTTTTGATCTAATACGGTTCCAATACGGTTCCTTTTCAGGTCCGAATACGGTTCCAATACGGTCCTTTTTTTTGATCTAATTCGTTATCAATTTTTTTGTAATGAAAGAGCTGATTCAAAGTCTCAAACTCAGCTCTTTTTCCCCCCTCCACAAAATCGCAGTGGATGTACACGTTTCTCCTGCTCACCTTTCATCAAAATCTATTCCTAGAATCATAATCTTTAAAAGAAAAACGTGTTTCCTCAGAAAGAAACCTTAAATTTGCAAGAATCCGATTAGAAAACTATGCATTGTGCGTCATTTTTTTTTGCCTATTTTTTTCTCATTTAATGGATTAGTAATAGTTTTCTCGTTGAATATGAATATCTCAATTCATTCATTGTCTTCATATTAACTCCTTTTGTTTCAAATTCAACCACAAATTTGAAGAATTCGAAGAAAATCTTTTATTTTACTCCTATACAATATTTTAATCAGATTATTCACCATGTTATGTCAAATTCTTACTCATAAATCGTTTCATAAATCGTTTTTTTTTTTTTGTTTCAATAGGTTTCTTTATAGAATTTGTGAAGTAAACAAAAGCTTTCTGGCATACTAATTCACCAATGTCATGAGAAAATAGAAATGAAATCTTTCACAATTGTTTTGTTCCCTCAAAAATCTCAATGTTTCTATAGTTTTTTATAATAATAATAATAATAATAATACTTTATTCAAACGATAAAGTGAAAGAAATGATAGAGAAATGCACAGTGATACTTAATCATACAATACATACTGAAATCAATAAGCCAATTACTTACGGCAAAGAGCCACTAGATCTAAAGCATCGATACGTTTCTTGAATATGAAAAGCGACTGAATTTCTCGTATGTCGTTTGGGAGCAAGTTCCATAATCTAGCGGCTCTAACGGGAAATGAATTTGATAAAGAGGCATTGGAAGCAAAGGGAATTTGCAAAAGGAATGAGCCACTTCTGGGCCCTGACCGCGGTTTAAATTTGAAAAAGTCTATAAACAAAGGGCTAATCTGTTTACAACGGAGGATTTTGAAAGTTTCGACTAAATCAATGACAAAGCGACGATGCTGTAAAGTTTTTAGTTCAAAAAAAGCAAGTCTCTCCTCATAAGTAAAGCTAGAATATTTAGAATAGTCAATTTTCCATAAAGCGACTTTTGTGAACATCCTCTGAATTTTCTCCAAGCGTTCAATAAAGACTTGTGCGCGGGGAGACCAAACAATAGAAGCATATTCGAAGATGGGCCGGATATAAGTCGTCAAGCATTTGATATATTTTTTTGATTTTAATATACCGTATTCTCTCTAATAGTAGTGCACTCTCTAATAGTATTGCGGTCCAGGAGGGGGTTCAAAAAATAGTAGTGCACCCCCGGAAAATTTGAATTTCTGTTTGCTTCTTTTTCATCTAAACCTTTTCGACTTTATGTTTATGTGACATTCTAAAGCTATTCAAGCAAGCAAAAGTGAGGCTTTTTTTATTCATTTATTCATTTATTCATTTATTAACTATTCTTCACATGAAAAAGTTAGCAAAAAATCTAAAAAATCTAAAATTGTTGTGCAAAGTGCAAAAGCATCTTTTTGTTGTTTGTCAAGACACAAATTGTCAACTCGCCGGCCCACAACTGTATGTCAAAAGGAGCCAAAGGAGTACGTGAAAGAATTGCAAGAATTTTTGGAACAGATCTTATATCTGTCTTACTTTGGTAAATGATAAAACTCTCTAATAGTATTGCGGTCCAGGAGGGGGTTCAAAAAATAGTAGTGCGCACTACTATTAGAGAGAATACGGTAGAATAAACCCTCTTTTTAGAGAATAAACCCTCTTTTTCTCTCTTTATTCATCTTTTCATTCAATCAATTCCACCAGTTTTGAAAATTTAAAAACAAATTTAAGACTTTTATCGCAAAAAGTACTCTACAATTTATTGCTTCAGAGCCAAAATGTTTTGTTGTTTTTTTTGTTCTGTTCGATTTAACTTAACTTAAAATTTAACTCTCTACCCATTTGTTTTTTAGAGAAATGGAGATGATTGGAGATATTCTTGAATGGTATGGTCGTACTATTCATCCGCCACTTGTGCTCGCTCTTTGTATTTCTGGTGGGTGAATCTATCAAAAAATGTTTCTTATTCAAAAATTCTTTCGAATTCCAGGTTCTCTTGGGCATTTGTTGTCAATTGGAACCCTTTCTCGAATGGTCAATCCCACAAATACTTTACTCATTTCGATGTCTTGGTGAGAAATCTAGAAACCTAGAAATCTAGAAATCTAGAAATCTAGAAATCTAGAAATCTAGAAATCTAGAAATCTAGAAATCTAGAAACCTAGAAATCTAGAAATCTAGAAATCTAGAAATCTAGAAACCTAGAAACCTAGAAACCTAGAAATCTAGAAATCTAGAAATCTAGAAATCTAGAAATCTAGAAATCTAGAAATCTAGAAATCTAGAAACCTAGAAATCTAGAAATCTAGAAATCTAGAAATCTAGAAATCTAGAAATCTAGAAATCTAGAAATTTAGAAACCTAGAAACCTAGAAATCTAGAAACCTAGAAACCTAGAAATCTAGAAATCTAGAAATCTAGAAATCTAGAAATCTAGAAATCTAGAAATCTAGAAATCTAGAAATCTAGAAATCTAGAAATTTAGAAACCTAGAAACCTAGAAACCTAGAAATCTAGAAAACGATAAAATTTTAGAAGAAAATCTTCTTTTCCAATCAATTTCGAAAAGATAAAACTTTAGAAGAGAATCTTTTCCAATCAATTTTCTAATTCCAATCAATTTTCTAATTCCAATCAATTTTCTAATTCCAATCAATTTTCTAATTCCATTCAATTTTCCAGTTGTCAGCTTGCTCTTTGTGCGAATTTTCTTTATTCGACTTTTTTCAAATGGGCGAGTGATGAGTTGTGCTCACCGCTTTTCTTCTCGAAGCCAATGGGTTTGTTTGAAAGCTTTTCAAATTATAACCGAAAAAAATTTGAGCTAAACATATTGGAACCAAATTGGAACCGAATTGGAACCAAATTGGAATCAAGCTAAACTCCAAAATTCTCGAATTTCAGCGACAACAATGCACGTATCCGTTTCACTCTCAGTTTTCGTTCACATGAGCGGAGTCTTTCATGTGGTCGCACTCTCAATTATACGGTAATTAAATACTCAGCTAAATAGCTTCAAACCTGATCGTAGTCCTTTATTTTACCATCAACCGAAAAACCCGCCTAACGGGGTTTTCTAGATTTTTCTGAGTGGGTTGCCCGGCGTCGCCGTGGAGCAATCGGTAGCGCGTTTATTTCTGGCCCCTGGCAAGCCTGGTTCGACTCCCCGTAGTGCCAATGAGTTTTGCCATTTTTGGTTTTAAATGGCATAACTCTATTATATTTAAAAGTACAGGCAGACGGACGGACTGAAAGACAGACATTGCTCTTTTATATTTAGTAATATAGTAGATTGTTTATTGTTTATAATATATAGCTGCTTATAATGTATAATAAGATCTTGAATTTGGGAAATTTCAGCTTTTGTTCTCTAAAACGTCTCACCGGAGTGAATTCCTCTTTACCGTGGTTCACTCAAACGGTAAGCTTTCAAGTTCTTTCTAAAGAATGGGTCTTTTTTTTCGTTTCGATAAAGTTAAAGCTTTCTTCATTTTATGTTTTTATTGTTTTTTTTTGTTCAGAAATGTCGTGTTTCCTTATTGATCATCTATATTTCGGTGGCGATTATCGGAATGCCACTCTATTTCACAACGGAAATCGTTGAGGTAAAAGTTGCCAACATTCAACATTTCGAAGTTATCAAATCCAATCTAATTGAAATATTCTATTCCTTCACAAACAATTCTCAATAATTTCAGGTTCCCGAAAAGGCTGGCTGTGCTCAGCGTTTCCCGCAACTCAAAAATGTCACCTCTTACGAATTGTCATTTTCGAATAAAAATCTTCAAAATGTAAACAATTCTAAGCAAGATTTCAATGAATTTTTCTGTTTTTTTTCAGTTAAGTTTCTGGCTTTTCAACACATGCGCCAAGATTATTCCATCAGTGATTTTATGTGTGATGACTCTTCTCATTCTTTATCAACTCAAGAAAATCAGGTATACCACAAAATGTACAAGTTTTTCTAAACAAAACCCTAAAGAAACTAAAGGTTTTCTTTTAGGTAAACTTTAAATTCAATCAATTGAATCAATTGAATCAATCCAATCAATCAATCAATCAATCCAATCAATCCAATCAATCCAATCAATCCAATCAATCCAATCAATCCAATCAATCCAATCAATCCAATCAATCCAATCAATCCAATCAATCCAATCAATTCAATCAATTCAATCAATTGAATCAATTGAATCAATCCAATCAATCCAATCAATCCAATCAATCCAATCAATCCAATCAATCCAATCAATCAATCAATTCAATCCATTCAATCAATTTAATCAATCCAATCAATCAATCAATTCAATCCATTCAATCAATTCAATCAATTCAATCAAATCCCATCAAATCCCATCAAATCCCATCAAATCCCATCAATTTTTCCTTTTTTTCAGAAAGATCAGTGCTCGTTTTTCGACTCTTGAAAGAGATCAACAATATCAAAGAACGACGAAAATGATATTAGTGGGTCTAACTAGAAAATGTTCGAATTGTGAAAATGAAAAACGATTTCAATTTTCAGATGATAATGTTCATGTTTATTTGTGTCGAACTTCCACAAGGTCTTCTCGCCGTTTTGAGCACTTTCTCTACTCCATTCTCATCAATCTACTCAGCGCTAGGTTGATTTTTCAAAAGATTAATTCTTTACATAAAAAGAGAATCTCTACCGTAATCCTGCAATACGGTGACTTTTCAAATTATCCCAAATTCACGCAAACAATTCACGCAAACAATTTACGTCATGTAAACAAATGTAATGTAGCGTAATGTAATGTAATGTAACGTAATGTAATGTAACGTAACGTAATGTAAACAAATTTACAGGTGATTTCAACGAGATGATCACCCTTTTGACGGCTTGCCTAATCTTTTTCCTTTTCTGTGCAATGAATGGAAGAATACGGTAGATTTAGCAACAAAAATTTTTTTAAACTCACAAAATCTCTTCCAGAAAAGCGATCATGGGAGCACCGTGTCTTGTGTGGATTCAAGAATTGAGTAAAGCTGCAAAAAAGAGAAAAAGGTTAGAGGAAATGAGAAAAAAATAAAGGAAATAGACCGTAAATCTTGTAATAGTCGCGTAGTCGCAAATGTTTTTTTTAGTATTTCATTCTTTAAAGCACTCGTACTAAGCGTCTTTAGTATCAAAAAAAATAGCGCTGAATTTCAGCTATTTTTTGATACCTTTGCGTGCATTGTCGCTTAAATGAGTGTCGAGAAAAACGCGTTTAAAGCTAGACTACGCAACACTCCGCACTCAATTAAAGTGTCATTATGGTAGTTGAAGTTAATCGAATAAGAAGTTAATCGAAATAGCATCTCAGTACACAATTTTTTTTTGCTTTATCAATTTCAAATAAGACTTTGAAGTTATTGATTCGTAAAGCTGAATAGCTGAATAACTGAATAGCTTTATCGCTTTATCTTAATGATAAACGCTTTTCAGACTTCGATCAACGGGAAAGGATCATTTATTGGGATCATGTAGTGTCACTCAAACACCAGCTATCGAAAAGAATGGCTATTCAGCCATGCCACCTATCATTTCCGCTGAATAACTTGATCAAATTCATCTATTCATCCAAACAAAATAACTCTAGTCACATAAAAAGCCAAATTTCTCTATTCCGCATACCATTTTACCCCATGCTAACACTATTCACAAAATTCTTTTCATAATTTAAAATTGAACTCTTTAAATTGAACTCTTTAAATTGTACTCTTTTAATTGGACTCTTTAAATTGAACTCTTTTAATTGTACTCTTTTAATTGGACTCTTTAAATTGAACTCTTTTAATTGTACTCTTTAAATTGAACTCTTTTAATTGTACTCTTTTAATTGGACTCTTTAAATTGAACTCTTTAAATTGTACTCTTTAAATTGTACTCTTTAAATTGTACTCTTTAAATTGTACTCTTTAAATTGTACTCTTTAAATTGTACTCTTTAAATTGTACTCTTTAAATTGTACTCTTTAAATTAAACTCTTTAAATTAAACTCTTTAAATTAAACTCTTTAAATTAAACTCTTTAAATTGTACTCTTTAAATTAAACTCTTTAAATTAAACTCTTTAAATTAAACTCTTTAAATTAAACTCTTTAAATTAAACTCTTTAAATTAAACTCTTTAAATTGTACTCTTTAAATTAAACTCTTTAAATTAAACTCTTTAAATTTGCAATCATGAACTTTTCTGTGTGAAGAGAAAACGGGTGTCCCTCTGTGCATTCTCTCAATATTTTTAAAGCCAAAAATCGCAATCGCTAGTCATTTTTTTTTTTGATGTGTATGTAATCTCATTTTGTGTTATAGCTTTGAAGAATAAAATTTCGAGCTCTAGCATTTAGACTCTGTGATTTGCAGCTTTGAAAGCTTTGAAAATTCCCCCTGAAATTTAGCTCGTTCATTTGACTCAACAATCTCGAAATTTATGAAGATTTAATGACTAGAAACGGCTGAATTTGATGCCAACTATTAGGGTGACGGGGAATGAAATATAAAAAGCCACAAAAAGGAGTGTGGACTCACATATCTTTCCAAAAATAAAAACATTGCAAGCCTCAGCCAATCAGTGTTACGTACTATTCGAAAAGCCCTGAATCTCCTCTACAAAATAGTGGAAAAAAAAAAGATTTTGATTTCGATTGATTATTGGGGACTTGAGTGCTGAAAAGTAACGGCTGGTCGAGTCTCGACCTGGGTCTCAACTTGGGTCTCAACCAAGCTGCAACTGCTGGCAACTATCAACTATCCAGGGATCTTTTCGCTTGAAATTTTTCCTATCAATTAAGAAGATACATTACTCAATATTTATACCAAAACTTAAACGATCAGCTTAAATTCTATCGAGATATAAGGAACTAAAGTTGAAAGTACCCGTTTTTGCCGTTTTTTGCCGTTTTCTGCCTAAAATCGAGAAACAAAAGAAGCTCTTTTCTTTTATATTATTTTGTAATAACTTTAATTGACGGTATTTTCTAATGTGGAAAACCCGCGCATCGCCAGAAAATCATTTTTGACCTTTCAACTTTAAAAATCACTCAAGTCCCCAAAAAATCAATCGAATTCAAAATCGTTTTTCCACGATTTTATAGAGGAGATTCAGCGCTTTCGAACAGTATAGAACACTTATTTCGCTGAGGCTTGTAATCTTTTTTATTTTTGAAAAGATATGTGAGCGTTTTGATTTCATCCCCATCACTCTCATAGATCATTTCAATTTCATTCAATCACTCGATATCTGTGAATTTTAAAAACATAAAATTGATGGAATCAGCTTATCAATCATTCGAATTTCAAGCAATGCAGCGAACGGCTGGACTGGTATTTAACCAGTCAGCCACACGTTGAGCACGTGTGGCTGACTCGTTAAGTGTCTTTTATCTTAATCGGAAGGTCGAGGGTTCGAACCCCACATGCGACATGGTCACCCCCTTCGGATTTCCTTTCCCTTCGGGTTGAGAGGTTTTCTGGAGGGCAGTCTGGTGGTTGTGGCCCCAGTTCTTTAAAGTGACAAGCCACTCCTTCATCGTCATCTTCCCTTCACCACCAAAAAAAGCTATTTAGTTCCCCATTGAGCTTAGGGTTAGGGAGCCGTCTGTCATGACGTGGGTTAAGTTAAGATATAGCCTAGTATTGTGTGTGTCGTTGTATTGTGATTGATATATTTCGTGTATGCGATAAATTCACCACTGGTAGCCCCAGTCGGTATTTTTTTTTTTTTAAATCAGCTTATCAATCATTCGAATTTCAAGCAATGCAGCGAACGGCTGGACTGGTATTTAATATTAGTAATATTAGCTAAAATACGCCTACTCAACTCAGGTTTACTTTTACAATTTTTCTGTTTAGTTTTCGAAAGTTTATGCTCGTTTTTGCCCATTTTTGCAGAGGTTTTTTTGTAAAAAAAAAGAGAAAAGAGATCTTGCGAAAGAAATAAAGATCAAAGAAAAAATAGAGATAGAAATGAAAAAGAAAAGGAGAAGAGATATAAGAAAAGAGAAATGATCGCATTCCCGACAGTTGGCCTTATCCCATCAGTTTGAGGGAAATGTGAAGGGCCTGCTTGCGAAATTTCTCCTACCACGCTTTTTTTTCTTATTAAAAAGAAAGTTCTTCGTTCTCTTGATTATAGCTTTTCATTGTTGAACTTTTTGGTAGCTTATATTTTGTACCATCCGGAAAACGCTCACTAACCTTCTCGTTTTCCACGCAATCTAAGCCCCGCCTCTTTTTTGCCAATGGCTGCGCACAGACGGACGGACAGACATCTCTTCTGCTTTACATAGAGTAGATCTATACTGCATACATTGTAGACTTTAAAACGAATGCTATTTGTTGATGGGTTTCATGAGAATATGGATTTAAAATCAAGTAAAGTAGCAATGAGAGATCGGAAATTTGATCCATTGGGTTGATGGAAAAGTCCTTTCCGATTTTTTGGGAGAGTACCTTAAATTTGTCGAATTTTGACGTTTTATAGCTCATCCTAAAGCGCTGAATTCAAGACGGATCGATTGGTAAAAACCGTTTTGTGATATCTCTTTTCTAAAAGTTTTTACAGCTATTTTAGTAAAGGGCGGCAGAGCCAAAAAATGGCTGTTTTCACGTTTCGTTAGTTTTCCGTGCAGAAACCTAGGCTAAAAAAAGATGTGTTTCGTGATCGGCGTCAAAAATAACCCCTAGACACGCATTTATCATTTTTTTGATGTTGTTAGAAGGTAAATTTTAGGGTTTTAGAAGGTAAAAAACGAGAAAAACGAAGGAAAATCGCGAAAAGCGGCGGAAAGGCTATTGATCTGAGGGTCGCTGGCTCGACTTCCACCGGTGACAATATTTTTCAAAAATTTTTTGCTAAGATTCGGAAAATGCGTTTCTAGGGGTTATTTTTGACGCCGATCACGAAACACATGTTTTTTTAGCCTAGGTTTCTGCACGCAAAACTAACGAAACGTGAAAACAGCCATTTTTTGGCTCTGCCACCCTTTACTAAAATAATAGGTTGATGCATAAGTCTTTTCGTTTCTTTCGTACTTCTGTTAAAAAGTAACAAATTCACGAATTAATCTATAGTTTGCTCTATAAAAAAAGTGGTTTTTTTGTTCAATTTGCATCATTTTAAATGAATTTCGGTTCACTTTCAAGCAAATTCGAGAGTGAAAAACGCCTTTTTCGTAAAAATCTATAAAAAACTCTACGGAAAAATTGGCTGAATGAATTTCTCTGGAAATTTTGGCGAAATATCAAACGTTTTGTTTTCTCTATCTTTTATCTATTGACACGAAGATAGGTTTTCTTTAGCTAAGGTGTCTAAACCTAAGGCTAAGGTGTCATCGAGTTAGCCCTTTTTGACTACCCGACTTCATACTCTCAAGAAAATCCAGGCATTCAATATTTTTAAACCCGTTTTAATGTTATTTTGCAGAAAAATAATTGCTTTTTCTAATGAAATCAACCGTAGTTTAATTGGTGCATTTGTTGGCTTGAAACGGCAGACGAAAAGGAACAAAAACACTTATGCATCAACCTAATAGCTGTAAAAAATTTTAGAAAAGAGATATCTCAAAACGGTTTTTACCAATCGATCCGTCTTGAATTCAGCGCTTTAGGATGAGCTATAAAACGTCAAAATTCGACAAATTTAAGGTACTCTCCCAAAAAATCGGAAAGGACTTTTCCATCAACCCAATGGATCTATTTTCCGATCTCTCTCTAAGTTTCCCCAGAGTTTTGTTTGAACGCATTTCCTTTTTTAAAGATCTGCCGTATTTGCTATAGATTACTGTAGACATTACTATAAAATAATGTTGCCATCAACCGGTTCTTAAACGATTGCTCATCCCGGGCATCACCTCTCCTCCTCCATAAATATTTCCGTTTCATATTTCTTTATCCACCCCCCAAAAAGAGGTTTTATGGAGATTTGGTGGAGATATCGAGCTATTTTCTTTTGCAATAGAAAGGCCACATTGTAAAACCCCTAAAAACACCGTTTTTGGGTTCCCTGGGATTTTCTCAACAAAAAAAAAAAAGAAACTAAGAAAGAAGATTCTGCGATCGTTTCACATTTCTTTATCCACCCTTAGGAACTTTTCGTTTATTTATAAGAGTAGAAATTTAAGAATATAATTTGTGCTAAATGCAAAACATTTTTGCAATTCAGAATTCATATTTCTTGCAATTCTTTCAACTTTAAAAAGTCAATTAGTCGAGAAATTTTCTGCAAATTCTTATTGACACATGTGCAAGATCTCTCATCGTCCATCGGATATATGAAAAAAAGAAAAAAAAAGGGAGTGGTTGGTTGAGAGAAAAGAAAGAAAAGAAAGTAAAGATGAGGATTGTTGGATTTGTTTCCCATCGATCTCCTCCACTCTTCAAAAATCCCCTCCCTTTTGCCCCCACTCAAATCCTCTCATCTTTCTTTCTTCATCATTTCTGACTTTTTCTAATTGACATTTCATTGATCATTGTATTTTTAAATTTGAAAGTTTAAAAGTTTAAAAGTTTAACCCCCATTTCTTCGCTAAAACAAAGCGAAGAAAGTTTATTGAAAGCACGTTGAGCACGTGTGGCTGACTGGTTAAGTGTCTTTTATCTTAATCGGAAGGTCGAGGGTTCGAACCCCACATGCGACATGGTCACCCCCTTCGGATTTCCTTTCCCTTCGGGTTGAGAGGTTTTCTGGAGGGCAGTCTGGTGGTTGTGGCCCCAGTTCTTTAAAGTGACAAGCCACTCCTTCATCGTCATCTTCCCTTCACCACCAAAAAAGCTATTTAGTTCCCCATTGAGCTTAGGGTTAGGGAGCCGTCTGTCATGACGTGGGTTAAGTTAAGATATAGCCTAGTATTGTGTGTGTCGTTGTATTGTGATTGATATATTTCGTGTGTGCGATAAATTCACCACTGGTAGCCCCAGTCGGTATTTTTTAAAGTACTAGGTTGAGCAAAAAAGTCCTCTCTTAATTCAAAAAAATTCTGTGAAAAATTCAATTTTTATGCGCACTTTAATAATAAAAATAAGAAGAATAAGAAGAATTATTCCTTAAAGGAAAACCCATGATTATCTACGACTTTCTCTCATCGATCTGCAAGCTTTCGGGCCTTGTCCAAGTAGCACTCGTTCGGTTTCGAATTAAAGAACTCTTGGCAAGTTGAGGAAAAGGGGCCAAGGCAAGGCTCTTGGCTCTTGGCACTCTTGGCAAGCTTCTTCAACTCCTTTAAATGACTCGAATGACTTCAAATTGAAAGTGTCCATTTCCAGCAATAGCGAATGAAAACTCGAAGCTCTTTTTCTTGGAAACTCATCTGGAAAACAAAGATCAAAATTGGTAATAAATAAGCGCGAAAAAACCAGCAACGAAATGCATAAAAATTGAATTTTTCGCTGAGCTAAGTGCGAACTTTTTCCTCAACCTACTACCTACTACAGGGTGTTTAGTATTTCCAACGACTTCTTTTTGATCGACTAGCTCCCAAGTGCCAAGTACAACCCTAATGTGTTAAAGGTTATATAAAATATTGAAGCCCTTAGTCTTGGCTACATTTTTCTCTTAAAAGTTGCCCGATTCGAGATATAAAACTCATTTTACAAGCCCTTCAAGGAGTGCTAGTTGATCCTTTTCCGACCATCTTTGGTAATTGAGTTCATTGATCATTGTATCAAAATTGAGTAAGAAGATTCAATCAAAAACAGTTCTTATTATCATTAAATAATGTTAAATAACCTTTTAAATTAAAATAAATATCAAAAAAGTTTTTTTTTTGATAATTTATTATAATAAAAATTGCCTACAAATTCCCAGAAAAGGATCAACTAGTACTCATTGAAGAGCTTGTAAAATGAGTTGTATATCTCGAAATTGGGAAACTTTTAAGAGAAAAATGTAGCCAAGATTAAGGGCTTCAATATTTTATGCAACACTTAACACATTAGAGTTGAACTGCTTGGGACCTAATCGATCAAAAAGAAGTCGTTGGAAATACTGAACATTCACCTTTTTTCATCGAACTTTTGAAGCTACTGTGCTGACAAAGAACAGTTTTGTCTTTTGTTTTGTTTTGTTTTGTTTTTTTTGTATTTACGGTAGCTTAAAATCCGGCTAGATGATGAAAGAAGTCGGATAAAACGGAATGTTTTATTTGATTTCAATTAGGATGAGAATATTAAAAAGTACTCATCAAGTTTCTCAATTTTCCGATGAGAAAGCTGAATAGGTTTACATTTCAACTAAATTAATGGATAAAAGGTACTCAGTTTTCTTCGATTTTTCTGCTATTTCTTTTCAAAATCAATATTTCACACTAATGCCAATCTCATTTCCACAAAAAATTTTCCATTTCATCTACCTGAGAATGACACCTCCCATAATGACAGGGTATTGCCGCGTAGTCTAACTTTACACGCTCCGTTCTCCGCGCTGCTTTATGCTATAGTGTGCGCTTGGGTGTCAAATGATAGCCCTTGAAATCTAGTATTTTTTGGTACCAAAGATGTAGTTCGGAAAACTCTAGGGGCTAAGTAAAAAGATGATTTTCTAAAAAGAAGTTAGACTACACGACTGAACGAGGGGTTGCCGTTTAATTAGAGTATTGTTTACTGTTTACTAATGTTATGTTATTGTTACGGTCATTTTTACTTCAAAATTGCTTTTGATCTTTGTTTCTAAAACCTCCTAAAACCTGATATGTAAATATAAAAATAAAACAAAACTACAAACTCTATAAAGATAAACTAATAGTTGAAGCCTACAATCATAAGGATCGGGGGAATTTATTCATCAAATTACACAAGTACTTTGAATTGAATAATTTGAGAGATGAATTCAAATGCTAAGAGGAATTATATTGAGGTAATCTACGAGGAAACAGTAAAACAATTAATACAAAAGCAATAATATTAGAATAAATTGACCCAAGTCAAGAACGATGGGTGGGAGCAAAATCCACACTTTCTAGATCTCATGGGTCTCATGGATCTCATGGGTCTCATGGATCTCATGGGTCTCATGGATCTCATGGATCTCATGGGTCTCATGGATCTCAATCTCATGGATCTCAACCTCATGGATCTCAACCTCATGGTCCTCATGGATCTCATGGATCTCATGGATCTCATGGTTCTCATGGATCTCATGGATCTCATGGATCTCACGGATCTCATGGTCCTCATGGGTCTCATGGATCTCAAGGATCTCATGGATCTCATGGGTCTCATGGATCTCAATCTCATGGATCTCAACCTCATGGATCTCAACCTCATTGTCCTCATGGATCTCATGGATCTCAATCTCATGGTCCTCATGGATCCTCACGATCTCATGGTCCTCATGGATCTCATGGATCTCAAGGATCTCACGATCTCATGGATCGTGAATTCTAGAGAGTGTGGATTTTGGTTCATTTGAATGAGCTGGGGAAAATAGATTTTTAGTGACGTATTCTTTAAATTCTCAAATCTTTCACTCCTCGTTGGTGTCTTTTTACTTTTTTTGTCGAAGAAGCAATTGTGTGTAGTTGGTTGTGGCACACACATCTCAATGAGCGAAAAGACGATGTAACAAGCCTCCCATTTCACCTTTCCCCCCTTTTTTTGCTGATCTCTCTTCTTTTCACTCTTTCTTTTTCAATTCTTTCTCACAATTCCCCATTTTTTTGTGTGTGTCCATTCAATATTCCCCTCAAATCTTTCATTAACTTTTACTCAATGATTCTGTTTTGAACAAATTTTTGAAATTTACTTTCAATTTACTTTACTTTTAATTTACTTTACTTTTAATTTATTTTACTTTTAATTTACTTTACTTTTAATTTACTTTACTTTTAATTTACTTTACTTTTAATTTACTTTACTCTTAATTTACTTTACTTTTAATTTACTTTACTTTTAATTTACTTTACTTTTAATTTACTTTCAATTCCAGTAGTGTGTCTTCGCTTTCTCAATTTCGTATCACTTCTTTTTTTCTCTCTCTCTCTCTCTCAATGATCCTCAACGCCAATGAGGAATATTGGGATTGGCCACTACAAGATAATGATGGAATTGTTAAGGTAAAGAAGCAGAAAATGTTTTAAAATATCAAAAAATTTCAGGTGACAAACACTTCAGAGAAATTCGATGTTGCTTTAGAGGCGAAATCTTTTCTACCGAACGAAATACAGGTAAAATGCAACATGGGGAATAGTTTAGATCGTTTTCGAAGAAAGCTGAATTGTATTTTGGTAACATAATTTTTTTTTGCTAAGGTTTTTACTCCGTTTCTGCTTCTCTCCCTTCAAGAAGATGACATTTTGAGTGTACAGTCGCGTAGTCATTCACTGTTTTACTGATAATTGTAACTGTTTTATGTAAATTCAATGATAAAACTCAACTATTATAGTCATTCGATAGCTCTGAATCTCCTCTTGAAAACTACCAAAAAAATGAGCGTATTTGTTCGAATAGAAGACCGGGTAAAGAGTATGATCGCGTACTCCTGCGTAGCAGCCCTTTTTAAAATTTCTTTTCTGCATAAAAGCTTTCAATGAAGTGCTATAGAGCTGGAAAATGGGTATAGAGCTGGAAAAAAAAAATCTGTTAGCTCATGTCGTATTTTTGAGTCATTTTTCAGCCCTATAGCATTTCATTGAAAGCTTTTATGCAGAAAAGAAATTTTAAAAAGGGCTGCTACGCAGGAGCACGCGATCATACTCTTTACCCGGTCTTCTATTCGAACAAATACGGTAGTCATGTTCGCAGAAGTCGATTACAAAGATTTCGTACAAATCTAGTGAAAAAACCTCATTCGTTAACGGCTAGCTACGGTAGATCGTTTTCGAAAATAGCTGAATTTTATAGAAAATGAAGAAAACTGAAGAAAATCTATTTATCAGTTTCTTTATTCACTTTTCAATGCCCCAACTTTAAAGGTGCGCGTGATCGGGAGTCTTTTGGAGATACACTTTGAACACGTGCAGAAAAAGGGTGATCCGTATGTTTATCGAGTGATTACGAGGTACGTTTGAAAGGATTTTTGCAAAGAAAACAAGAATAAATAAGGCTTTCCCTTGATTTGACCGGTTTAATTACCCAATTTTTATACAAACTATGGTCACAGGCACGTAAAAACTACGGTTCTATACAAACTACGGTTCTATACAAACTACGGTTCTATACAAACTACGGTTCTATACAAACTACGGTTCTATACAAACTACGGTTCTATACAAACTACGGTTCTATACAAACTACGGTTCTATACAAACTACGGTTCTATACAAACTACGGTTCTATACAAACTACGGTTCTATACAAACTACGGCTCTATAGAAACTACGGCTCTATAGAAACTACGGCTCTATAGAAACTACGGCTCTATAGAAACTACGGTTCTATAGAAACTACGGTTTTATACAAACTACGGTTTTATACAAACTACGGTTTTATACAAACTACGGTTTTATACAAACTACGGTTTTATACAAACTACGGTTTTATACAAACTACGATCACTTTTTAAAAAGCTAAATAAGAGAAAACTTTGCAAATTGATTTGCAAAATAAGTTTTCTGCAAAAATAAATTTTTCTTAAAAATTGCTTAAAACCCAAAAGAGTAAGGGATAAGACCCTGACCTGGCGGCCAAGGCTAACATGCCGGTGTAGCTCATTGGTAAAGGTATCGCTCGGTGAGCTTGGTGGTCGCAGGTTCGAGTCTCCGGCCAGCACTTTTTATCCACTTTTTGCACTCCCAGCCAAAAGGTTTTTCTATAAAAGAACTGGCGTATCGAACTCCCGATTTCCAATCAATTTCAGATCGTATCGATTACCAGCCGATATCGATATTCGAACGTTGAAAAGTCATCTGTCGAGTAAAGGAAAACTTCATATTTCTGCAAAAAAACTTTAATCTTTAATTGTAATCTATTATTAATATATTAATCTTTTATTTTCTTTCATTTTTCTTTCATTTTCTTTCTTTCTTTCTTTCTTTTCTCTTTCTTTCTTTCTTTCTTTTCTCTTTCTTTCTCTTTCTTTCTTTTTTCTTTCTTTTTTAATCTTATTCTCCCATTCTCAAATACCGGTACTTTTCTGTGCGCATTTCTCTGTATGAATTGTAATTTTTTTTAAAGGAGATTTATCAATAAAATGCCGTTTTCTACGTATTTACAATTTTTCTTTTTTTTTTTAAAGAGATTTTTAGAATTTAGAAAGCGCTCAAGCGAATTTAGAAAATGTTAAAAGCTTAAGAACAAAATCAAAGCAAAAAAAAAAAAACCTGAAAGCAAAGCTGAATGCCGAGATAAAATTGTGATATCACAGAGAGGAAAAAGTCGTCTCTGAAAGAGAAAAGAAAACGAAGAAATCTTTTGTGACAAGAAATAGATTGAATAGATTTTTTTGGGATTTTCAAAAGCTAGAGTTAAAAACAAGACAAACTTTGTACTTTATGCTCTAATAAATGCCCACCTTCTTACTGAATTTTACAAAGATTACTTTACAAGGATTACTTTATAAAGATTACTTTACAAAGATTACTTTAAAAAGATTACTTTATAAAGAATACTTTATAAAGAATACTTTATAAAGAATACTTTATAAAGATTACTTTACAAAGATTACTTTATAAAGAATACTTTATAAAGAATACTTTATAAAGATTACTTTATAAAGATTACTTTACAAAGAATACTTTACAAAGAATACTTTTGTAAAGGTTACTTTATAGTCTGTCTGCTTTACAAAGATTACTTTATTTTGCTTTCAATCAAGTGCTATAGAGCTGGAAAATGGCTCAAAAATCTGTTAGCTCATGGGGTATTTGCTCATGGGCTCATGGGGTAGATTACATTGCAAAGATTACTTTACAAAGATTACTGTAATGTGACGTGGCCGAAGGGATTCTTTAGAGCATAAAGTTTCTTGTCAAGCTTATTAAAGTTTTGAATTAAAATTGAATTCGACTACTTAAAGAAATGCTAGAAAATCAATTCACATTTGATAAGTTTGCCCAAAATCGATTCGGAGTTGTTGAAGTCTTTGTGAAAGCTCAGATCCTTCACCCTCATTCATTTCAAGAGCATCTGTTGATGAAGATTTTCTAAAAAACAAAATTGAATATTCCCTTGAATATCTTTCTTTTATCTTTCTTTTAAATCCAAAAAAACACAGGCTACAGCTAAGAAAAAGAAACCGCTAGACAAAAGGCAAATGCGAAAAAAAAAACCAAAAAGCGAGAGATTCCTCTCGGAAATTCCTCTCGCTATTTGAGGATTGATGATTTCACTTACTCGGATGTTTCGGGAACGACCAGCATTCGACTAGAGATGTATTCGGTTAATTTGTTGGTACTTTTTGCATCTTTACCCACCCCAAGAGTTTAGATGGAAACTAGGCTTACTTGTGCGCTAGCTCGTTGGTGCATCTGGAGGCTTACTTGTGCGCTGGCTCCTTTGGTGCATCTGGAGGCTTACTTGTGCGCTGGCTCCTTTGGTGCATCTGGAGGCTTACTTGTGCGCTAGCTCGTTGGCCTCCAGATGCACAAATGAATGTATTTGGGTTCACCCATGTGATTTGAAATCGATTCCCCCATTTTGCCGAAATCCTATTTCGACGAAAATCTTGATTTAACTATCCAATACACTCAATGTCAATGTTGCTCAATGGTTTGGTTGAGTTGTTATCAAGTGATTACAATTATGTTTAGGCGAACAACGAACGGACAACTGCTTGAAAGGCATAAACAATGACCTCAGAAAGCATCTCAATAGGGATCATCCAGATCTGTGGACATTCATTAAAGGACTTTCAGGATTTCAACAGAAAATTGACAACAAAATGGTTGAATACAATCAAAATCGCATCAAGAAGACACGATTGGAAAGAAAATGGATGCAAAAGTTTGTGCGAACGTTGGGATGAATTTGTTGATAGTCTAGAATATTTGACTGAGATTGCAGACAGACAGACAGACAGACAGACAGACAGACAGACGGACAGACAGACAGACAGACAGACAGACAGACAGACAGACAGACAGACAGACAGACGGCAGACAGACAGACAGACGAGACAGACAGACAGACAGACGGCAGACAGACAGACGGACAGACAGACAGACGGACAGACAGACAGACAGACAGACGACAGACAGACAGACAGACAGACAGACAGAATACGAACGGAAAGACAGACAGACCAGAAGACGGCCGGGGAAGACGACGACAGAACGACAGAAGACAGACAGACAGACAGAGGCGGGCAGAAGAGGAGGACAGACAGACGACGGACAGACAGACGAACGAGAGAGACAGACGGCCGGGCGACAGACGGACGGACAGACAGACGGACGGACAGACGAACGGACGACAGACAGACAGACAGACAGACGGCCGGGCAGACAGACGGACGGACAGACAGACAGACGGACAGACGAACGGACAGACAGACAGACAGACGGCCGGGCAGACAGACGGACGGACAGACAGACAGACGGACAGACAGACGGACATCCTTCACTTATCTATAGTAGAGATCATTGGGGTGGGAAAGATGCACCAGTACCAATAATTGAAATGATTTGAAATCAATTTCAGAAAAGATTTCGATTTAGAGATTCCATTTGATTCGGATCATTTTTCTACCTGCTGAATACGCGTGCTTCTCCCTCGAATCCGCTGCGCATTTCGTCCACCGAACACGCGATCAGTGTTCGCCATGCACGAGCTGCTTCACGAGATTTCTGCAAACAATATTGATTACCTATTATTGTATTGTTCTATTTCCTTTTTTCATTTTTCGCTACAGTACTTTAAGTTGATCGTCAAATATGACGAAATGCCAGACTACAAACGCTTCTAACTTTGTTCAAGTCTGTCGGATTAATATGCGCTATAGCTCAAAATATAGAGAATTTCAAGAGCTTTTTAATGAACTAGAGCTCATGTCAATCCGACAGATTTGAGCCAATTTAGAAGCGCATATAGTTTACGTTTGTAGTCTATAGTGCCCACTTCTAGTAGAGGGCATTTTTAGTATACTTCAGGTACGTAAAAGCTTAAATACTTCTACAAATATATAGCTGTATATTCCATATAGTGTAAGCATTCTATTAGAAAGCATTTCCCATCTATTTTTCAATTTCTATTCTATTTTATGTCCTAGCTAGAGTAGCCTTTCATTAGTTCAGAAATGAGTGTTTTTTATGCATTTTTCATCTAATTTTAACGTCAATTCAGCTTTGCTTAGCTTATTAGAGAATAGAGATTGAGAAATAGACGGGAATTGCTTTCTAGAAGTTAAAGAAGTTAAAGAAGGTAAAGAAGGTAAAGAAGGTAAAGAAGGTAAAGAAGTTGAAGGAGTTAAAGAAGGTGAAGAAGTTGAAGAAGGTAAAGAAGTTGAAGAAGTTGAAGGAGTTAAAGAAGGTGAAGAAGTTGAAGAAGGTAAAGAAGTTAAAGAAGTTGAAGGAGTTAAAGAAGGTAAAGAAGGTAAAGAAGTTGAAGAAGTTGAAGAAGTTGAAGAAGTTGAAGAAGTTAAAGAGGTTAAAGAAGTTGAAGGAGTTAAAGAAGTTGAAGGAGTTAAAGAAGGTGAAGAAGTTGAAGAAGGTAAAGAAGTTGAAGAAGTTAAAGAAGGTAAAGAAGGTAAAGAAGCTAAAGAAGTTAAAGAAGTTAAAGAGATTAAAGAAGTTATAAGAAGTTATAAGAAGTTAAAGATTTTCTTTATTTTATTTGAAGTTGACAAACACGAATAAAATGAAGAAGTGCGTCGGGTTTTCTATTCGAATTTTTATGGTATTGATTTACGGTTTTGCATCTCTCACAATGACTCCCTCGTGTGCACATATTCTCTCGATTGCCACTTCGCCCAATCTTTCCCAAATTTCTGCTGAGAAGCCGCAACTACGTGACAACATCGCGTGAACACAACCAACCTAAAAATTTTTTTGATTTTTGAAAATTTCATTACCTTTTAGCTAAATCAGCTTAAATTCCTCATTTTTGAGTCTTTTCTCATTTTTCTTTTATCTAAAAATAAGATGCACTCAATGTGGACCGGAAATAGGAAATAGGAAAAGTGAAAAGAATGCTTCCTCCTCGATTCTTTTTGCCAACAATGATAAAAGGTTTTTTTGGGCTAAGAAAATGTTGGCAGCTGTTGGCAGTAAGACAAGAAATATAAAGAAATATCCTCGGATTTCTTTGTCTCACTTGTTTCATCTGTGATGTGCACTGTTCTTCGTCATCAATCGTGTTCACCAACTCGTCGAATAACCTGCAAAATCTCTTCTATAGCGTTTCTCATACTTTAGAAGCACACGTGCTTAGCATGTGCTTAGCATCCTTTTTTCATTTTTCGCTACAGTAACTTTAAGTTGATCGTCAAATATGACGAACTGCCAGACTACAAACGCTTCTAACTTTGTTCAAGTCTGTCGGATTGATATGCGCTATAGCTCAAAATATAGAGAATTTCAAGAGCTTTTTAATGAACTAAAGCTCATGTCAATCCGACAGATTTGAGCCAATTTAGAAGCGCATATAGTTTACGTTTGTAGTCTATAGTGCCCACTTCTAGTAGAGGGCATTTTTAGTATACTTCAGGTACGTAAAAGCTTAAATACTTCTACAAATATATAGCTACCGTAAATACTGTAATAGTACCGCACCCGCATAATGACGGTGCGGAGAGTTGCGTAGTCTAGCTTTGAACGAGTTTTTCTCGACACTGGTTTATGCTACAATGCGCGCAAAGGTATCAAAAGATAGCCCTGAATTTCAGCTATTTTTTGATACCTAAGACACATTTTTTGAAGGTACGGGCGCTTTGCAAAAAATGAATAATGATGGCCATTTTGAACTCTAAAGCTTTTTTTTTTAAAGTTTTGATTACCGTAAATACTGTAATAGTACCCCACCCGCATAATGACCGTGCGGAGTGTTGCGGAGTGTTGCGTAGTCTAGCTTTAAATGCGTTTTTCTCGACACTCGTTTATGCTACAATAGCAATACAATTATCAAAAGATAGCCCTGAACTTCAGCTCTTTTTTGATACCAAAGACGCTTTTTTTGAAAGTATGAGCGCTTTGAAAGTAAGCATTTTTTGAAAGCTTTGAAAAAAAATGAAATACTAAAAAACTTTTGCGACTACGCGACTGTACGACGGGGGGCGGGGTACTATTACAGTATTACAGCACTAGTATGACAGCACTAGATAAATCTTGGTAAATGAATAACATTCTGAAGGGCATTCTCAATAACATTCTCAATAACATTCTCAATTTTCCCCCGTTCAATCCCGTTTCCACTCACTTCACCATCATTTTCACGTGTTCGTCAAGCGTTGCCGCTGTATTTCCTTCATTATTAAACGCGTCAACCAAAGCTGCTTTGTAGAAAAGCTGAATTTAAAAGTTAAACAAAAAAAAAAAAAAAACATTATCTATTACATCTTTGACTTTCGGACAAGCGATCTCCAACTCGAGAAAGATCTTTCTCATCACAGAATTCGCTGTCGGACGAATGTTTCTCCATGAAGCGACGAGGGCTTGACGCTGGGAAAATGTCAGAGAAGAGATGGAGAGACCGCCTGGAGTTAAAGAAAAAATGGAAATTGAATAAAATTCGTGAAACTTTGATCAATTTTTGAATTACTTATTTTTGAAAGAGATTTCAATGATCTACAAAAGGGTTTTATCGAATTTTCCTCAAATTTTTCCTCATTCACCGCTTTAAGTTCGACAGAAAGACAATTTTTCTTTCAAAATTTATGTCTAAATCTTTACATATTATATCTAAAGCTTTACATATTACCGTGATAATTCTATATAGAAGACCAGTCTCTATTAGAAGACCAGTCTCTAACAGAAGACCCTTTGGGGAAGGGGTTGAAAAATAGAAGACCATGGTCTTCTATTATTAGGTTGATGCATAAGTGTTTTTGTTCCTTTTCGTCTGCCGTTTCAAGCCAACAAATGCACCAATTAAACTACGGTTGATTTCATTAGAAAAAGCCAATTATTTTTCTGCAAAATAACATTAAAACGGGTTTAAAAATATTGAATGCCTGGATTTTCTTGAGAGTATGAAGTCGGGTAGTCAAAAAGGGCTAACTCGATGACACCTTAGCCTTAGGTTTAGACACCTTAGCTAAAGAAAGCCTATCTTCGTGTCAATAGATAAAAGATAGAGAAAACAAAACGTTTAATATTTCGCCAAAATTTCAGAGAAATTCATTCAGCCAATTTTTCCGTAGAGTTTTTTATAGATTTTTACGAAAAAGGCGTTTTTCACTCTCGAATTTGCTTGAAAGTGAACCGAAATTCATTTAAAAAGATGCAAATTGAACAAAAAAACACTTTTTTTATAGAGCAAACTATAGATTAATTCGTGAATTTGTTACTTTTTAACAGAAGTACGAAAAAAACGAAAAGACTTTTGCATCAACCTAATAGAATTATTACGGTATGTCTAAATCTCTAGATCGAAATTTCTCCCGCCAAAATCCCAAACCATTTCTTCCTCTTGATCGACTCCGATTCGATTTACTCCCACGACGGAGAATGCTTTGTTGACCTAAAACGATTATGAAATACGAGATATTAAAAGGCAAATTCATAGCTTTAAGCTTTCATAGCTTTAATGTTTTTGTTTTTATTATTTAATTGTTTTATTTTCTAAAATAGAACTTAATTATTGGATTGGTGAATTGAAAACCGCGGGCTATTGTCATGTGTGACAGTTTGAGCACTTTCTTCAAAAGAAACCCATTTTGGTGTCAATGGAAAAGTTGTAGAGAATCAAAAATAAAGCTTATATCCAAATTTCCAAAAAGATACACTTCGTAGTTTAATTTGTGTGTTCTGTGTGTTCTTTGTGCGGCCGCATAATCGCTCGTCGCCTGGCGCAGGGCTTTTACATAACCCCCTTCCCTCTCCCTTTCCCAAATTGATCTGGCCGGCTCCGAATCCTCAAATTGGACATTGACTTCTCCTCAAATCAAGGCTAATCTCAATCTGTTGGATTGGTGAATTGAAAACTGCGGGCTGTTGTCATGTGTGACAGTTTGAGCACTTTCCTCAAAAGAAACCCATTCTGGTGTCAATGGAAAAGTTGTAGAGAATCAAAAATCAAGCTTATATCCAAATTTTCAGAACAATTCAAAAACTGGTTGTCAAGAAGTGCCAAATTTACGAAACTTTCACAAAACTTGCATTTTAAGCGAAACTACTAAGTGTATCTTTTTGGAAATTTGGCTATAAGCCTCATTTTTGATTCTCTACAACTTTTCTATTGACACCAAAATGGGTTTCTTTTGAAGAAAGTGCTCAAACTGAGACATCGGACATCTCCAGTCCTCGATTTTTGAGTCTCGCACTTGTCTCAGACACAAATCAAAATCCTACTACGAAAGAGGAATCCGCAAATTGCCTGTAAAATGGGCAGAAGTCGTCAATAATAATGGAAATTATTTGGAATCAATTGATGGTTTTATGTTGAATAAATTTTAGTTCAAAGTCCGGCAGTTTTCAATTGACCAACTCAATGATAGTGCACCCAAGCGAGCCGAGTTGGTGACTAAAACGATTGAAATATGAGATATTGAAAGGCAAAGTTATAGCTTTAATGGTTTTTTATGATTTTTATGATTTATTGCTTTGTCTCTTCTTTTCTTTAGCAGTTAATTAGTCAAGAATAGAAATTTAAAAGTCTACAATGTGTCGGTGTTGTTGAAGGTCCCTCGGAAACCGTCTGTGAACGAGCAAATGCCGCTCGTCGAGTGTTCGCTGTTTGCATTTTCTTTAGAATCTTTCCATTCAATAGTTTAGTATTATGTTTGAAGCATTTCTTGAAGTATCTTGAAAAATTTTGATATGAAAAGAACAAAAGAAACGAAAGATCAATGAGATTTGGTGATAATACGAAAATTTTTCATTTTTTGAACACTCTAGCACACTAGGTTATAAACAAAATATGAAATCCAGTGTGCTAGAGGATACGCGTTTTGTCGCACAAAGTACAAAGTGAGTAAGGAAACTAGACCTGCTTAACGAGACGAGGCCAAATTTTCAGAAAGTCTGTCTCGCCTTTTGATTTTTTGTACTGCCCAAAGCTTTTTTGAGGATGGAACCCAGTTCCCCTGCAAGCTCTTATTTTAGGCTTCATTTTGATACTAAACATGGCTAGACTCTGTTTTGCTATTCTTTAGATTTCGATCTATCTTTCGCCGGACTCGATAAGCTTAACGAGTCCAGAAAAATTTCTATCTAAAATGATCGAAATCTAAAGAATGGCAAAACAGAACCTAGCCATGTTTAGTATCAAAATGAAGCCTAAAAAAGGGCTTGCAGGGGAACTGGGTTCCATCCTCAAAAAAGCTTTGGGCAGTACAAAAAAAAAATCGAAGAGCGAGGCAGACGGTCTGAAAATTCTGCCCCGTCTCGTTAAGCAGGTTTAATGGAAACTATCGAAGGCCAAAAGTCGCAAAAAAACCCGCTGGGAATGGGTGGATCTCATCAGAAATGAATTCAATGCATTTCTCTTTTTATTTCTTTTACTCTAACTCATTCACCCATTCATTTCGTTCATTTTACATAAAAAAAAGCGATGAGCTTGTCCTTCAATGGAATGCCAGTAAAAAAGAGAGTGACTTTAGATGAATATATGAATATTGATATACATGGATATAGATCTAGATATGGTTAGATATAAATAGATATTTCTGGAAACATCTACAGAGAGTAGATTCAAAGCCAAAGCCATTAAAACCAAAGCCATTAAAGCTAAAGGCATTCAAAGCCAGAGTCATTAAAGCCAAAGCCATTCAAAGCCAAAGCCATTCAAAGCCAAAGCCATTAAAACCAAAGCCATTCAAAGCCAAAGCCATTCAAAGCCAAAGCCATTCAAAGCCAAAGCCATTAAAACCAAAGCCATTCAAAGCCAAAGCCATTAAAACCAAAGCCATTCAAAGCCAAAGCCATTAAAACCCAAAGCCATTCAAAGCCAAAGCCATTCAAAGCCAAAGCCATTCAAAGCCAAAGCCATTCAAAGCCAAAGCCATTAAAACCAAAGCCATTCAAAGCCAAAGCCATTAAAACCAAAGCCATTCAAAGCCAAAGCCATTCAAAGCCAAAGCCATTAAAACCAAAGCCATTCAAAGCCAAAGCCATTAAAACCAAAGCCATTCAAAGCCAAAGCCATTAAAACCAAAGCCATTCAAAGCCAAAGCCATTAAAACCAAAGCCATTCAAAGCCAAAGCCATTAAAACCAAAGCCATTCAAAGCCAAAGCCATTAAAACCAAAGCCATTCAAAGCCAAAGCCATTCAAAGCCAAAGCCATTCAAAGCCAAAGCCATTCAAAGCCAAAGCCATTAAAACCAAAGCCATTCAAAGCCAAAGCCATTAAAACCAAAGCCATTCAAAGCCAAAGCCATTCAAAGCCAAAGCCATTCAAAGCCAAAGCCATTAAAACCAAAGCCATCTTTAAAGGATAACTTTTGTAAATCATATAGAAAACTTTACAATACCAAAAATTAGTTGACATTATTAGTTTGTAGTTTCTTCTTGGATAGAATTCAAAAGCCACAAGATTGTAGTCAATTTTATTGGAAAATGATTAACTAGACTCGAATTCGAGTGAGGAAATGGACAAATAAAATACTGAGAAAGAAAAGTGTGGACTAAATGTGGTGTTGATGGGCACAAATTTAAGCAGTTAAAATAAGAAAAACAATTAAAGCATTTCAAGAATTTCCGGACCAGAGTCAAGAAATCGAGTCTGGCCTATTCTAGAATCATTTACAGAGTGCAGATTCAAAGCGATCAAAGCCATCAAAGCCATCAAAGCCATCAAAGCATCAAAGCATCAAAGCCATCAAAGCATCAAAGCATCAAAGCCATCAAAGCCATCAAAGCCATCAAAGCATCAAAGCCATCAAAGCATCAAAGCCATCAAAGCCATCAAAGCCATCAAAGCCATCAAAGCCATCAAAGCCATCAAAGCCATCAAAGCATCAAAGCCATCAAAGCCATCAAAGCATCAAAGCATCAAAGCCATTAAAGCCAATTTGAAGGAATAACATTTGTAAATCAGAGAGAAGCCTGGAAACTTGAAACTGGAAACTTTACAATACCAAAAAACATTTAATATTATTATTTTCTAGTTTTTTTTTTGATAGAATCTAAAAAGCCATAAGAGTCCATAAGATTTTAGTCAATTTTAACGAAAAATCATTAATCAGATCTCAAATTCGAGTGGAATTGGATAAATAAAGTGTTGAGAAGGAAAAATAAGTGGGATAACTAAATCATTTCTTTATTTCATGGGCACAGTTGAAAAAGAAAGGTTGAATAAGAAAGGTTAAGCAGGTTGAATAAGAAAAACAATTAGATAATATGAAACATTAAAGGTTTTCAAGAATTTTCGAATCAGAGCCATGAAATAAAACTAGCACAACTCTAGGATTGAGCTCAAGAATTGGAGAAATTGGAGAATTCAAGCAAAGATCTCTAGTGATCAGCAAGGATACAAAAAGTTGCCTTTAGAAGAACCCAGGATGAGTTTTGAGTTGAGTGAAGACTCATTTTCTTCATTCTCTTCATTCCCATCAATGACATCGATTCTCTTCTTTGAAGAATGAGAAGAACGAGAAATGTTTGCATTTTCGATTTCCCATCTACGGCAATGACCAAATTGAAATTGAAGAAAAGGAGGAAAATGAAATGAAAGAGAAATTTGGAAGAAATGGGCGAGTCATCTTTCAGTTACAATTAATGCCAGTTACAATCTAAGAAAACGTTTGGTGGCTGTTCTAGAAGGCAACGATTTCTTTCGTTTCAATCGTTCCCTTCTAGAACAGCCAACAAACGTTTTCTTATGATATTGATGAAGAAGTGAGGGAAGGGAATGTGGATAATCGTTGGAAAACATCCCTTCTCATGACCAGTCTCAATTCTTTCTTTCTCTCTCATTTCTGTTTCTCATCGATTTCCCCTCATCTTTCTTCACTCAAAATTGGCCCCACTAAGGTAATTATTATTATGAAAAAGAGAGAAATGAGCAAAGAGAAACTTTTCCGTTTCTCGTTTCCGAATGGAAATCCAATTTCTGATGAACTGATGACCGTTTATTGAGTTTTGGAGAGAAAAAAAAAGAAGGGGGGAAAAGGATCGCAAGCCAAATTTGGATTCCAGTCCAGTTGAGGGTTATTTTTGGGTGAAAAGGCTTTTTGGGTTTAATAATAAACTTTTTCTATTTAAAAAATAGAGAATTTAAATAAAAACATGAACTATTTAAATAAATCTAATTAGAAATTGAGTTGTTTTAACTTAATTCGGATTGAGATTGTTTCATTTACTATTCAAAGGGAAAAGCTGCCTTTACAGGCTATTGAGCAAAGGAAAGGCTCACGTGGGATTTTAAGCAATAAAGAAATAAAGAAATAAAGAAATAAAGAAATAAAGAAATAAAGAAATAAAGACGTAAGAGAAATCATTGATGTGAATATCCTGTAAAAGGATTTCTTGGAAGACTTTTCATAGATTGAACATCGAGAGAATGGAATGAGATAATGGAGATCGAAAAGGGGAATTGAAAGGAAAAGAAAGAGAAAGAAAGAGAAAGGAAGAAAAATAAAGGAAAAGAAAGAGAAAGAAAGAGAAAGAAAGACATCTCATTATCTACTTCCCCCCTTCTTTACGAGTATTATAAGTCTTTTTTTTCCTTTTTTCCTAAAAATTTCTTCACTGGAAGACTCTCATTGATCTCGAGACTCTGTTCTTTCAAAAAATTCATTTCATTTTTATTTTGAACTTAATTTTAGCGATTAGTTTTTCAAGATTAATAAAATTAATTCAATATCTTCATTTTTTTAATATAAAATTCAAGATATTCAATTGATCTTAAGCATTTTATAAAGTCTTTTTACAATAAAGAAGAAGATATTCAGTTGTGCTGACTGAATATCTTCTTCTTTATTGTATTCAGTCAGCACAACTGAATATCTGTGCTAGAGATGTTCTAATTGGATCTTAGATCTTAAAAGACAGACTAGGACAGGCTAGAACAGGCTAGAACAAGCTAGTAGATCAAGTCTTTATCTGGCTTTGCCTGCTTTTGCCGAAAATTCTTTTGCTAAACAAAGTATAAATGTTGCCAAATCATAGTTATGACATAAAAAGCACATGTGTAGAAAAAAAAATTGTATAGAATACCCCTAACAAAGATAAAGATAAGAAAAAGAGTCGATTCATTGTTATCCACTCATGCATCTCATTTTCTTGTCTAATAGAAAAGAAAGAGAAAGAAAGAGAAAGAAAGAGAAAGAAAGAGAAAGAAAGAGAAAGAAAAAAGGTTTCTTTTAAAAAGAAAAACCCTAGACATTTCTCTTTTTGAAAAGAGTTTTTAAAAAGATTGTGTTTTCGTGTGAAAAGAGTAGAAAAACTGTGATAGATCTTTTAACACATTTTGACTCTATTTTAAGCGTACAATCGTGTAGTCGTTAACTGTTTTACTGTGTTTTTTTTTTTGGAAATTCAAAGATATTCAAAGATAATTCAAATTATTCTAGTCGAAATTCAACCGTTTCTCTGTTTAGATCATTTCCTTTTCTTTACTCAATTCATCAAATGAAACTCAATCGAATTTCAATCAAATTTCAATCGAATTTCAATCGAATTTCAATCGAATTCATATGAAAACATTTGAGAAAACGAATCCCATCAATCTCTTTGATCTTCTCAATCTCTTTGATCTTTTCAATCTCTTTTCCTCTCAATTTTTCGATTCTTTTTCCGG